TTCCTGATGCTATTATAGTTGGAAACAAACTGGTGCTCATTTGAACACGGCTGGAACCAAAAGTTACGTGCTTTGTCAGCCGAGCATCACCTGCCATCTGTTGTTTCCATAGCAACTTTCCCTGGTAACTTCTTTAGTTCGTTTATTTGACGAGTTCATTCCCAAACAAAAAGTAATCTTTTCGATTATGTCATTATTGGTCAACGGATCTGTTATTCAAATTAATCAAACGGCAATCTGAATCATCAGCGAAAGATTGGAGGCTAGGATTAAAAGGTCTAGAAAGTTCGGGAAAGTGAAACAGCCGCCTAGATTCTCACAACGAAAACTCTGAATCTCTCAAGGAAGGGTGGCAAACTAAAGTCAGTCCCCAAACAACAGATCACAACTTAACACAAAGCGTCCTAAAAGATACACTTTTCCGGTTGGGTGGTTGTTAGTCGGTTACCGGGGAGTTGCAAGGCGGTTACCACTGAGTTAACGTCACTTGACTACCTCACTAACTGAGCTGCACCTGAATTAACAGACTAACTCTAGACTTAAAAGCAGGGGACTGGCTCTACAGGCCCCGCTACCTCCCCCGACTAATGCATTCTCACCACCCATCTCACGCTCATCCCTCAGCCTGGATCCACAGTCCTTAACTAGGTTTACAGAATAACAGGGTGCCAGTGGGAATATCTTAACTACCTAACAGTAGTGTCACGTGACTTGTTACGTGATGTTGTCACGTGACTGAGAGTAGCTGGAGTGAGATAAAGTAAGATCCTGTAGGTGTAATGATCGCATGCCCAAACAAGGTGAAATCACTAAGTTGTGACCACTTTATCACAAAAACCTATACTCAGGGTGGCCGTCATGATAAGACAGCGCCGTTTCCTAAAGGCGGAGAGCCGGTGGTCCGGCCCTGGCGACTCCTCTGAAAATGAGTTTATATAGTTGGGGCAGTGAAGAGATGTACATTACCTGTATTCAAATCACTTTGTACTTAACTTTCTGTCGCCAGGGCATCCTCTTTGATCTGGGAGCATTTCATTAGCTGATCTTTGCTTTGATTAGAGGTTTCATTGCCGACCCAACCAACCACCTATTTAACAGTGTTTGTTTTATCGAACAGATGTTGTAGTAACGGGGAGCTATCCTGGTTACGCTATCTGGTTTGAGTACAGCGTGTGCCAACTTTCCGGTTTGGTTTCCTTTGCAGATCTTTTTTCTGATGACATTTCATAATGACAAGATGTGAAAGTTATTATTTATAGAGATTTAGTTCACTTCCGCAGATTTTGTTCATTTTAGCACATAGTCATAAATTTAGGATTTAAAATGGCGATTTCTAAATCTGTTCTGTACCTAAGTTGACTGTCTATTTGTAGCTAAGTTGAACCCATATTTGGAATTGGTTCAAAATGCCCTACAAAACGTAGCGTTCTCTCGATCTAAGTTTCCCTTGCGCAGTATATTTTTGTATAAATTCTGCCCAATATCTCATGAGCTTTTACTATTTGTTCAAGATTATAAATAGAAGAAGGCCGAATTATAACGTCTTCCAAGAACTCTACTGCGTTTGTGGCAACAATAATAAGTTGTTGTTAGGTCTGTGATCGATGCTCCGATCTTATCTGATAAGTCGCAATAAGTTTATTACTAATACTATCGTAACATGCCGTGGACCTCATATATCTAGACTGATAACAGTCTCTATATAAGATATAAGACTCTACCAATCATGTTGTTGACAAAAAGCAATCTGTAACAAGCCGATAGTGATAACAAGGTCTATTAAATATCTGTGGGTTGGTCACAATAATACCAATCACTGAGGTCATACGCGTAAATACACCATTTATCTCATCAAATTTGGGTATGTTTTGCTATCGACCGAACATGCGTACACCCCCGTAAATCACTTTCTAACGTTCCCAAGACAAACTTATTTTATCACGTGACCTGGCTTTAAACCTTTCAAATCGTCGTGTTGTTATCACGCGTTAGGATCGTTATCACGTGGTCCACGTTTCCGCCAATAAGAGAAAAGGATTGCGTGTTCAACCCACTCTAGCAGCTCAGTAAAGCTTGCTCGCTGATGTTAACGCTCTCACTGCTTTGTGTTCAATCATTCATTTCTTCCTACTCAGCCAACGCCCCCTTGCCAAATTATGCTATAAAACTTTACAGTATGATGATCTTATTTGAAGCTGTAGACAAACAAGATTTGTTATTTTGATGTGCAGTATCGTTAGTGGAAAAAATGGTCTAGACTTCTGTTTGTAAAACAGCTTACTGCGCGAGACCCTGAGCTCCAACCATATATTACCTACTTATGCTCTTTCAAAGGTTTACACTTAACCCCCTGATCTCTCTCCTTGTCTCGAGGATCCTAGCCACATTACCAGTCACTCTGATGATCATGTTTGTATTTGGCTCAGCCTTGCCAGACTCTGTCTGAGGAGAAAATCTCGTCATAGACTCTCAAACTGAGCTCACTGCCTTGCACCACCCTCTAAATAGCTCTATCTGTACTTGAACCTGACTGGAACTCAATTACAAGAGTCAACGAGAGTTGAACCTAGTGGCATGTTGTCAGAGCTAACAGTAAACTGGCCGCAATTATCCCAAATTGTCACGACTACCTTCGAGAGGGCATAAACGAAATTTAACGAATCGTTTACCATTAGGTTAGTCAATTTACAAGCGCTCACTGAGCAGCACAACCTGGACTTGTAAGCGATCGGTTAAAATTTTGATCGATTTGTTTAATGCATGGTTTGTCTCGTTAACTGACACGTGATGGTTGCTTTAGAGATGCTGATTGGTTGCCTGGTGACACGTGGTAGCCCCCGTGTTCAGCAGAACCCCCGTTAGAGCGCGCCTCGTGTCACGACATCCTCGTATATTTCTCGTTTGTTTTGCGTGCCTTTCTCCTCCCCGGTGTTGTTGTGCTGCTTTTCTCCGACCAGTTCCCAGGTACACTGTCCCAACCCGCCCTGCTCGTTCTTAAAAACGCCCGGCGCCCTGCACCGTTGGTCCCAACTTTCTCTTTACTCAGAAATTTTATCCCATCAACAAATTGGTTTATAAATGATCATTTGCCAACATCTGAGCGTTGTAATTTACTGATCTACTGAAATTCGGTCGATATTCGGAGATGAACAATTCAGTTTAAATGTCCGACCTAATAGTTCTAACCAGTCGCTCATATTGCTGTTATTACTAAGCCCTCTTTGTTTTCTCATTTAATCTAACTGGATAGCTAGTAGCCTGGATTTTCAGAATTAACCTTAATAATTCCCAGTAATTTGTGTTGTACAAATTAATGCAGAGTAGCCTCAGCTAGTCGGATAGACGATTAGGAGTAGAACTTTTTAATTGGGTTAAGTTATTTAGGAAGATTGTGCTGATTGGGCCTGTAATCCCAGTTGTTCTGTCTACCATTTGTTAGCATATTATCAAGTCACTGCTCAATACTACCAGTGGGTTAACCGATGTATCCCTCAGTCCGCCCTTTCATTAAAGCGGAGTGGTAATTCTATTCTACTTCTTAATTTTAATTCTACGGTTTAAACTTAAAGCTTGTCTGTTGTGTTGTTTTTGGAAATCCTTGAACAGATTTTAATTATAATTTTCATTACGTACCATGTTTTGGCATTTATGTTGTGATAACTTTTGTAGTTCGCTCGGAGCCGTTATAAATGACGAGCGTGCTAAATCACTCTACAGTCGATCTTCGAGATTATTCTAAAAGGGCCCCCGACAGTTGATTCCGAATCACCCCCCATGACATAGGGTTAAAATACTCCCCTGCCGAGATATTTGCGAAAAACTGTCTTGATCACGTGATATGACCGTATAAGGAAGTTGGTCGAATTTCTCGTTAGGGTTAGGGTTTCAGCATATGCTTTTGTTAGAGATTGGGTTAGGGTTAAGGTTGGCATCAGATTAGAGGGCTATGATTTCGAATAGTCATTCAGGGCCACCAAGAGAACGTGTTTAAAAAGTCACGTGACAGTCGAGTGTAGAGTGATTAATCATCATCCTATAAATGATGTACAGTTAAATTTCTACTAACCAGGAAGGATCGATTATATGATTCTGTGATCACGTGACGAATAATTAGCCCCTTATTATATGTTCCTCTTGTTCCAGTAACCAAACCTTTATACCACGTGTAAAAATCAGTCACGTGCGTGGAATAAATTCGTAGATTATCGGGTAAATTATATATTTGTAGCTCGTTGGGCATTTAATGTATTTGGGATCCGCCTGCGGTTCCAATAATTGGGCGCTTATTTTGTATTGAGTTTATTACGATTATCACTTTATTTTATGGTTCGGTTAAATGACTAATCGTGGTCCTTCAATATGGTTAAACATTTTTTTTGCTCTTTTCAAGTATTCCTCAGATCACGCTTGCGCGACTCGTATATTTATAAATCCAGCACCAACAAGCTGTTTCATTTCCACAGAGCAATTATTTGGTATAATTCCAGCTAAGACAACTGTTCTTGGCCCAGCCATTCTTTTCTATGCTGTGTAGCCCCTGTTCTCACTAAAACATGTTGACTACCATTGGTTGGTAATTAAAACTGATAAAAACAAAAGAGGGAGGAAGTGTTTGAAAATTCCTTTTGTTTCAACTATAGTTTTGTCTTTCCGACAAATGTGTGCCTATATTAGCAGTTGTACCATCCCTTTGAACCCATTTGTTTGAAATTAAACTAATTTAGCGATTGGAAATTTGATTTTTTTGGTCGGTAATATAATTTGTCGGTAGAATAAGCTATCAATAACATCGGCAAAATGAATTTGGAATTAGTATTCGCCGTTCGGTAGGATTATGAATATGATAGAATTACACCGCTCAGAATTGCAATTTTCGGGGAACTTGCGACATCAAACGCCAAAGTTTCTAACCAATTGAATTTGAAATAAAAATAGGCTAAAAATCATTATGAATCGGCCATACATTAAGTCATCACAACATCGTCGTAAAACGGTATTAAAAAGAACACTTTTCAGAAATGTCGTATAACTATTTATGGACCGTGCTCCTCCTCGTTGCCAATGGTTTTGCCCGAGACTTAACAAGAGACTGTCTCAACAACCCCGCTCCAATCCTAAACGACTTCCAGACTACCATACTCCTACTTCACAACGCTGCTAGAGGGAAACACGAGGTTTGTCATCATACTTTCAGTTTCAACATTTTCATCAAAAATTTTAAAAAGATCAGCTGCTGTGTGGTAAGAACACTAAGCTTGCATCCTTAACTTAGAGATTATAAACATGTTAGTAACATCACAACCCTCTCAGGAAACTCCACCACTTTGCTGGTCTCATAATATAGCAGATGACGCCCAAACCCACGCTGACACCCTCGTGGATCCAGAGGGAAACCCTGACGGGCGGCACGAAAATAAGAGCAATTACCGGTAAGTTAGCGGTTTAGTAGGGTCTTAGATTTAAATTGGTCTTAGATTAATGAATCAAGCAAGTATTCATTTTATTCATTCACCCATTTGTAAGCAAGTATTTTACCTTTAATGTAGGTTTCTTGTGACATTTGTAGATTGAGACCTCATTGTTTACACTCACCAGCGTACAAGATGACTCGGGTTACCCCGGCCAAACCCAACAATTAAGACGGTAGACAGTTTCCTGTGTTGCGATTGTTATTGTGAATGGTGTGGTGTTTGGAAATTGTGTTAATTAAACAAAATTATGAGTTGTGTTTTTTAAAGGATGAATATTGAATAGTGATTTGACGATTTTTGCTGGTTTGAAATCCTTACGATAACTATATTTATTCAGTACGTTACAGAAGAAATATATTTAATGTAGTTTGAGGAGTCCTCACTCTCCTCGCACGTCCGAAAATGGCGTTCCTCTTGTCGCTAATATAAACGCCATCTTTTACAACCCGAATTATTCAAATCTCATCACTCCCTAACCCCAGCTTTCCTATCAGTTACGGTGAGAACATCTACAGAGCAAAGATCCTGTTTGCCGGAATGTCAGACTCCGAAGTAGAAATGGCTCGTGGAGCTATTCAGAGTTGGTACAACGAGGAACCGATCTACAACTATAAGTTCGAACTGGGAGCTTACTCAGGTGGAAATAAGCGTGCTAGTGCTCATCTCTGTACGTGAAGCATCTTTTATTTTTCAACTCAAACTATCAGCTCTTTATTTTAGTAGTTAAGTGCGATTTTGCAAGTTTATGAATGAGTTTTGCAGCAAATGAGTGGCTAAGCTACTCTACTTTAAGCCTACATGCCGTTCCTTTTGCTAGCTGAAATCGTGATTTCGCAGATCACTGCTTCAACCTTCTTTATGATTATCTTACCCCGCCAATATCTCCTTAACCCTGATGCTAACCCTAGATTCAACGAAAAAGTTCACACAGATGATCTGGAGGAGTTCCACACACATAGGATGTGCGTACAGTGTCAGACAGTCTCACTATTACTTTGTAGTCTGTATGTACACTCCAGATGGAAACAAGGGGGGAAAGAGTGGTTTCCACGATAACGTCAGGAAGAAGATCGGTAAGTAGCTTACTTATATTTTATTTAGTTTCTGACATTTTGTTGTTGTGGCTTTAAATTTGGTTTGCTGTGCCTTATCTTGAAGAAATAAATCGGAGGTGCAAGGAAAAGTTTACTAAAAGTTCCCTTTTTTCAGCTTGTGACGCCCCAGTTATCTACAAAGGAAAGCACACAACCACAGGTCCCTTCCTCCTGGACCAGACAGTGACAGTAAGATGTGATTCTGGTTACCACCTGGAGGGGAGCAGAACTGGAACTTGTGTCAAGAACGAAACTTTCGCATTTGAAGTAGAGCCTCGGTGCACAGGTTGGTGTAGGAATGTGAGGAATAGATTTGTTAAAAAACAATGCAGCTTCAAAACCATGTTATTGATTTACCTGCAACTTTGCCTCTAAACCCCCCTCTTTGTCCAGGTTGTGAGGTGGCTGATATAGCTAACGGGACGGTGTCCAGGGATGTAGGAAGTGTGGTGGCTGATAAGGACACTGTCATGTATTCCTGCAACGAGGGTTACAGTTTGGACAATGCCGCAAGGTTGGTATACTTACAGACTATCTAGTATAGAACAGACTATAGTATAGACTACAATATATAATAGACTATCACGGGTTTGTGTTATAGTTCTCAGTATGTTCATGTCTGACTAAGTTTTTCCTTAGCAGTAAAACATCGAATTCCAGACCGGTTTTTCTTCTTGAAACGGTCTGGGATTCGGATTGACCCGATCTAGATTTCGACTGGGGTTAGCTAGTCTGAATATTGGTATCTTTACCTCTTTCGGTTATAAAATTGTTGCCAGATTAGATGATTGATAGTTTATCTAACCGTTCCTCCTTCAGAGTGCTGCAATGTGATGGTAACGACTTCGTTCACGATGTGCCCAAATGCAGGAAGGAAGGATGTGAGTACCCTTTTAGATTATTATCTAATCATATAACAACCACTAAAATATGCTGAGTATGACATTAGCTGCTGAGTTGTTTATTTTGGGATTCAATGATTTATTCTTACCGATTGATCGATCAGTCACATTTTTTTCCAATCGGTAGGATCTTCATTGACATGTTCAAGAATTTCAAATCGAGACACTCAAGACAGCATCTAATAGTCGAAACCTTTTACCATGACCATTAGGCACAGTATATTGAGTTGGGGTGCAACAAAAACTCTGATTTTACAAAAAAGTGTCCTCGTTTAATTGGAATCTAGACTAACCAGTGTCTTGTGAAGGAGTGTGGGCCCGTTTAAAGACTGACCTCACATTAGAGGCTGAGCTGTCTGTTCCCCCTAATGGGAATCACAACTAACAGTCATTCGTTACAGCAGATACCATCCTCGCCCTTCGGCGTCACCCACTAGCTCTATGTGATCACCGCGTGATATCAGCCAACTAATCAGCATCCACCTCTTTGATCCTCAACCAATGGGGGGTTTCCATTTAGTTTGGGTTGATTCCAACGAGCTGGATGTACAGGACAACAAATTCGATTGGATATTTGAATAACTCCAACAAAGAGCAAATCAAGGTGCCTCTGGTTGGCAGTTTTATGACGTTTTAATTGGTCAGGGAGTCGGGAAATTTGGGATTATCTGAGCTGACAGCACCTGAATTATATGACAGCATACTGTCGCTTAATTTAGCGAGTGACAGTGACAAACACACAATTCAAATTCGATCTATTTACAATTCTACTAGATTTGGTGGGAGGCATAATGTTCTTTTAAGAGAGTTTGAGTAAACTCGTACAACAAAGCTGAGGGTAAGGTGACTGCCCCGGCTCGGGCATCCTGGCTCTTGAATTTACAGTGACTAGCACGGGGAATTGATGTGACAGTCTGCTTCTACTGATCGGCTCCTACCTTATCACAGTATCACTTCAACAAATGACCCCCAAATATCATGAGTCTCCCCTCGCGGCTCACCTTGTTACCTTGTTACCCGTTAATCATATCTTAGTTGAGTTTTGCAGGGGTTGGAGGTTTATTGAGTCTAAATGAATTGTTTTAGGGGGCCGTCTCGTGATGAATACTTCACTTACACTGCGCTGCAGTCCGCGTGGAATGTAATCAATAATGCTAATGAATTGTAAATGAATCAGAGGTGAAATAGCGATGAATTGTAAATGAATTGTTAACTCGTTTCAGATTGCCTACGACCGAATATTGAGAATGGAATAGCGTACGCTCGATCGATTGACGACGACTTTGGTATGCGAGGAGAAGAGCAGGGCTGGGATCATAACATACCTGACGGACACAATATTTCCATAATCTGTGGAGCAGGTACTTAACTGTTATTGCCAGTTGTAAAATATGTAAAATACACTATGTATAGTGTATAGTGTATAGCTTTTAAACCTCTCATTATTTAACAGTAAAGTAAGTTTTACCATGATGATTGCTGATAAAATCGTTCTAACACGGGCCCACTACTCCAGGTTACGAGCTTGTAGGAAACGACACAGCAGTTTGTCGAGGAGAGAAGTTTGACGGGGGAGTAGGAAGCTGCGAACTCTGTGAGTCTAAAGAGTGGTGTTGTCAAGGCAACTGTTTTGAGTTTAAAGTGTGTGAGTTGAGAGCTGATTCTGCTTATTTTCTGTGCGTGTGTGTGATTGTACTGCGTTTGTGTGTATAATGTAAAGTGAAGCCGCTACACTTTTTCGTGATTGCTGTTTGTTTTTAGGCTACATAAAAGATGCGAAGAGTATTTACAACCGCTATATAAATGTTTACACGGGCATAGTGCACGATAGACCTCCAACGTGTTTTGGACGTAAGTTAGCATGGTTATCTTGTTTTATTTAATTATGCTATATAAACAAACGATAAACTAAAAGAAGTATTACACCACATGTGTTTTAGCATACTCAAAGCACTCAAAGTAAAGCTTGACTTTTGTTGTTATAAAAGTTTGAATCATTTAATTAATCCCGTTTCTTACCCATACTGTATTACTATTATTAATTTATTCATTCATACTTTTAATTCTGAATTTGATTTTTAATCCTTTTATATCTTCTCAGCAAACACGGAAGCGATATCAAGCGAATGTTCTCTCAGATTTCCATCGTACTGGTTATTGATCATTCTGTTAACATCTCATATCTTGGCGCTGGTTACGTAACCTTATCAGCTTTTCTATGTGAAATATTCTGATAATTTGTGAAAGTCTCTGAAATAGGCTCCAGTCAGCTCATCCGAAATAACTAAAGACTGGGCAGAATCGGGAAACATCTGGGTGAATGACCACAGAGAAGACTGAAATTTTTCCCGCTCCTTAGCTGATAATGAAGTTATTGCCTTAATTGTGAGGTTAATTTAAATTATGCTGATGAAGTTGTAACTTAAAGACTAATTCATTGTTTTGCATGGTTATTATTTCATTGTGATGAATCGTTTTTGTTTGTTTTTATTTCAATTTTATTTCTGAAAACTGTGATTGAAGCGAGGTATGTTTTCAGTGTTTTTCGCGTGCAACGGAATACCAATCATTGTGCTAGTACAGTACAACTGTAGCAGTAGTGCTGTAGAATTAGATTTCTGCAATGTAATTTTATTTTCGCTTGAGTAGTTTATGATGTGTATAGTATTTAATTTTAAAGTTTAACCGTTTAATTTTAAAGAACTCAATGTTATGAATGCAGTGTGATCGTTTTGCTGACGTTGATTTATAACATACAACTTAGATTGATGAATGACCTGATTATTGATAACACAATTATTATCACTTTTTAACCCGCCGTAGTTTATCCTAGCTGCACGTTTGAGAACTAAACGTTCATAATTAGACAATTAGACATTTTAAGCCTTTTAGGTAAAGGCTTAAAATTTTATGCCAATATGCAATATGATCTTGCAACAAAGAACTTTATGTGTTAGCTTCTCACAGTATCAGTATTGAAATCAACTATCATGTTTTTCCAGTTTTAACATCTCATGCCCATAGAACTAAAACGTTTGAGTCACTATAATATATAATAGGTTGTTGTCAGTTGTGGTTCATCGGTTAAATATTTATTAAATTTGTATTCAAATTATTTAAAATTCGTCAAAATATTATTATTAAAAACCAACAATTTTATTTCCCTTTGTCACAATGCAATGAACTAATTTGTTATTAATTTTTCATCATGTTTTTTTTGGACTCCACTGTATGCTGTATAGGACTACTGAGTTGGTGCCATTACTCACCAAAATTCGTGGCGAGAAATTTCGAAGAAGAACAGGATTCGGAAAGAAGACTAGTGTGTTCTGCTTAAAATTTTAAAGCATAATTCGATTAAAAATATATTTGAGTTGATATGAGGGATGGCTAGAACATTATTATAATTTCTTGTGTGTTTTTTTCTGTCCCCTCTCTAACCTTACCCCACTCTTAATTATCCAATCTCCTCTCCACTCTCCTCTCCACTCTTTATCCCTTTTATTTGAAAGCGTGCTAAAATCACTCTACACTCGATATTCAAGATTTTTCTTTAAAAACAATTACTTGAATCGTTTTATTTTCTAACGCTGATTCCGAATCACTCCCCATGGTATGACATAGGTCAAGACTCAAGGTGATAGGGTTAAATGCTCCCCTGGCGAAATATTGGCGAAAAAAAAATGTCCCGATCACGTGATATGACCGTATAATAATAGAAAAAGGGTTATCAGAAGATACATTGTATTACGTCGTGACCCCCATTGTCGTTTCACTAAGTGGCCTTGATACAGCCGAGCACTCGTGCGCGGCAGGTCTACAACGTATGAGACTATGACAGAAGATGATACACTGTGTAACTGGGTAAACTGGCTACACTGTTCACCTGGGCCTAGCTGAGGGTTAATTACTATATACTAAAGCCGAGGTACCACGTGTTCAACACATATCATTTTCAACACATTATAACTAGTCTGTGGTTAACTTAAACCATACTTTGTTAGAACCAGGTGATTCAGATGTGTAGAAATACATATAATGTAATTGTATATGTCTCCAGCTAGGGTTTTAGTTAAATAAAGTTATGGTTCCTGTTAGCTTAGCTTTGGGGGTTATGATTAAGTCGGATTGGAATTACTATCATGGTTTATGGTTTATGTAAACTGTTTTGATACAGGGACCTCAACTTTCTTAATTGTTCATAAACAAAAAATTGAAGATTTATGGCGGAATGACAGGCTAATTGCCGCAGAATAATATATATTATATATATACAATAACAATTCAAGCCCTAGCGAGCCATGCGATAACTTTTGGGCAATCAAAATAATAAAAGTCGCACGTAATATATAGTTTCCTGGCTAATTCGAACAGGTGATATTTGTAAAATAGTTTTAATTTTAAATAATGCATGCATTGACCGTCGAAGAGTCGACCAACTTTACTTTTAGGCGCGCGTCTTATTAAGTTATTGACTTACAAATACTACCCAGCAGAACTTTGTATCACGTCGTGACCCCCATTGTTGTTTCACTATATAGTAGGGTTTCTAACATACAGGGGGAGCCGCGCACTCGTGCGCGGCGGGTCATAGAACGTATGACAAGCAGAACTTACTGGCTGGCAGTGTTACTAATACTAGAGGCGGCCATTTTCAATAGCACGATTGTCAGCGCGTAAAGTTCGCTACTCGCAGTTCGCACACGCGTGATACAATATGAATTCAGCCATGGGGTCATGGCAACCACATTAATTTGCAAAGTTAAACAGCTGCTCCCTTTTATTTGGCCCAAAATCATACTTTTCGCGGTCATAATTCAAAATCTACGATGTTCCTAATTTTGCTCTTGGGGAGCTAACTTTAATTTTACGAAACGAACATTTTGTTGAAAACCAGACGTTCGCGTTTCTATTTCTTTTATTTTTGAGGTTATGCCCTACCAGTAAGGGTTTCTGGGCGGAGTAAGGTATTTTGGACCAAACTTAAGACTTGTAGCGCAATGCACTACTGGGTCGCGCCGCGCATTTTCTCGCAACCACGTATGCAGATCGGCGAGATGCGAAGGATTGACATCGTGAATCAAACTTAAGACTTAAAAGATTGTGGAGTTTGTGGAGTAGTTAATTGACGATGTCAATTCATGGCAGCTCGGCGCGGCACAGTAGCGCATCTCGCCGATCTAGCTGCGCGGCACAGTAACGCATAGCGCTACAAGTGGAGTAGTAGCAAGAAGGTATTATATACATTTTAATCTGTTCTTTTGATTATTTATTAATGATTTTATGTAGGGTTGGCACCAATGTAATTATAGTTTTACTACATACCACCGTGTTTTGGTTCAGCCGAAATAAATTTTACTTTGATGTTTACATAATATTTTTCACTCCAGCTGCAGTCTGGTAGTGTTGAGTCTCATGAGTATTTTTCTAGCTCTCTTTTTCCATGTTTTTGCCTCACAGCACAGGAGGGGCTAAGTGCAAAGAAACTGCTGCTCACTGCTGCTCACTGCTGCTCACTGCTGCTGTCGCGCGCGCGCCCATAGCAGCAGTGAGCAGCAGTGGTCTTTTTTCTAAATATAACTGCAATACATTGATGTAAAGTTTATTTGAATTTTAAAATAAAAAATTTAAAAGTAGCTGTATTCCTCCGAACCAAGGACTTTAAAGGACTAAAATAAGTTGTATTTTGTCGACAAACTACAGCTTATACTGTTTACTTCATGATTGGGTCGTACTAATTCATAAAAAGCCAATTTGAAAAGAAATGCACTGGGGCTCCGCTCATCGGCTCACTTAATATCACTTGATGCTTAGTTGACCGACCGCGCGGCCATGTCTTGCGACTGGACATGGTACATGACAGCAATACAGGCATATCACATATGATCCGTATACGCCATATCCTTGTGTTTGGCATATAGTAGCTCTATAATTGGGTAATTCGTCATCAGTCATGTTGTATCACGTTGCGACCCCCACGGTCGTTTCACTATGTTCACTTTATCGTTCTGACGATACAGGGGGAGCCGCGCGTGCGCGGCGGGTCATACAACGTATGACAACAGTCATGCGATTTGAAATATCATATACTATACGACTTACAAATACTCTACTATGCGACTTGTAGCGCGATGCGTTACTGTGCCGCGCCGCGCACTCAATTATGCTTCTCGATAGATCGGCGAAATGCGCTTATACTGTGCCTCGCCGAGCTGCGATGAACTGACATCGTTAATTAACTATGCGACTTGTCCAATCGTTTGATTGACGCGGACGCCGGACGGCCGGGTGTTACTCGCGTCGTCTAAATTTCTTCGAAGTTAAGTTATAGCGCCCGCCGCTTTCTTCCCGAGGCAATTGCTAGTAGCCGGGCTAGTCCATTAACAATGGACAAATCGTTTACGCGCTTAACGGATGATAATCTTCTAAATTACTTCAAAATAGCGCACTGCTATAACTTCTCAAGGCCAAGGCAACATATTACATGACAAAATGCAAAGTAGCTTGCACCGCGTATTCACATAGCCATGTGCCTACGCGTACTGCGTGACGCGCTTGTTTCACGGTCGCGCGCTACTGCAAGCGAGAGGGCTCTGGTTAGAGCAACACCGCGTATCAGGCCATTAATATTTAAAAATAACCGATCGAGCAGTTACCTATACTAGCTTGCTAGTTGCTAGTTTATTTCTCGCTCCTTTCAGTTCAGGAAGCTTAAAAAAGCGCGCCGCGCACAGGATTGGTGGGCCAGCCATAAACAGATTTAGCAATAAATAATTTAAATCGGGATCATGAGCATCAAAAATTTTTAAATAAGCTTGTAGATATGCATGAATTTGTTTATAAACCTATAAACAGGTTTATTACCGGACCTAGCCCTACGTTTCATATGGCATGCAAATACTAGGCCATAAACATTTTGAAAAGGAGCATACGAAACCCTTTTTTAATAGGTTAAAAATTCTTACGGCTCAAAACTTGTACAAATATCACTGTATTTTAGAATTCTCTAAGATTATCAAGTACCACTGCCCATACTCCCTTTATGAGGCTATCAACATTTCAAACCGTGCAACGAGTCTAACAGTTATTCTTCTAAATAAATCAAATACCTTTTTGTTTAATGCAGCCAAGCTTTGGAACACTGTTCATAAAAAAATTTTAACTTCAAGCAATTGTCTAGAAACTTCCATTAACTTGATAAAATTGAGAACGAAAGCACTATTAATACATAACATAACATTATAAATAATGCCTCTCTGGGCATCTCAAAAAGAAATTCATAGAAAATGAACACTTTACGTTTGAAACCATATAATTACAAACTTTTTAAAAAATTTAACTAAATACCTTTGATATTAACCTTCTTCCTCTTAGCTACCAATGGATTATCTTTCATATAACTTACATAACTATTCCTATTAGACACAGACACATCTATCCTATCAAAGATGTCATATGAAAGTTCCCAGTGATGACCAAGCTTATTAGCTCGATATCCATGAAGCCGAAAGGCATCTAATCCCCTCTTGAAACCAGTAACTGACTCACTAGCTTTCACAAGTGGTGGTAGACTGTTCCAATAGCGCAAGACCCTTTGGGCAAAGAAATCAGTCTCATTTGTGGTGAATCTATGAGTCTTTGATCTAGCAGCAACGGTCCTACCAGAACGACCAAATAAATCGGAACCATAACCCACAAAGCCTTCCTGGATCTTGAACATCTCAATGAGATCTCCACGAACCCTGCATTCAAGCAGGGTTGTGAGGTTCAGCTTATCCAGTCTCTCTCTGTACGTCATGAGTCCCAATCCATCAATCATACGGGTGAACGATCTTTGAACACCTTCCAATTCAAGAATCAGTGACCAGTTTCCATGCCTAGCCATTGGAGCCCATGCCTGTGAACAATACTCTATATGAGGCTTTACTAAAGACTTATACAAGCCCAGCATAACGCTTTTCTCCCTCGATATAATATTTCTTGTAAGCCAGGCAATGGTACTATTAGCTTTAGCAATGCACTTTCTCACATGACCCTCAAAGTTGAAGCTGGTGTTAAAGACAACTCCAAGGTCCTTCTCGCTTTCAACACATCTCAAAGGCACACCACCAAACAAGTACTGATTCTTAGGATTACAAGAAC